GGGGGGCATTGGTGGGGGGCATGGGAGGATGGGAGGGAGAGGGAACTGGGAGTGATATGTAAAATAAGATTGTTTCTAAAATAAAAAAAATGAAAAATGAAAAAGATAATTATGAAAAAACTCTTCTCATTTATAAGTCATTTGACAAATAAAAATTAGTTTCTTTCATGTATGTTAAAAATCTTAAGTCATTAATTTAAATTTATAACTCTTTTTTCTTTATGTCATACAAAATATAATATCTTTGGGGTGGGGTGGGTGGGGAAACATGGGAGGATGGGAGGCCGAGGGGATGCGGGGGATGGATATGTAAATACGAGTAATTAAAAACCATCAAAAATGCTTTATTGGAGAATTTTACACAATATATTTTGATCATTTTCATCTTTTTCTTTCCCAGCTCCTCCCTGATTCTCTTCCACCCCTTATACAGCCAGCCTCACGTTACTGATGGATAGATATTCTAATCTGCCTCTAATATTAGCTTATTTTGTTTCCCAAAATCTTTATTTTTATTTTGAAAAAAAAATCCAACATTGTTTGGGAGCAACCCCACCAATGAATGCACATTTTTTAAAGGACACCGTCCTGTAAGATGTGACCAATTCTTCCAACTCCTGTGGGCAAAGCCATTAAACTCTTTGAAGAAGAGTTCATATACTATGAGTCACGTGGCTTCTTACGAAAGATTTTAGCGTTTGGGAAATTGAAACTCCTAAAAGAAAGCAGTTCTTAACTAACCATGTAAATACTACATGTCTAGAATAGAATCCTGAAGTCCTCAACGAGAGAGCTGACTTTGATCGCTGTGTATCATTACAAGTCAAATGGACATACCTTTTATGTAGTGTGTTCATACATGGAACATTATCTTTCCAGATGCAATGTGCCATAAGTTCTGTGCCATTGAGTTGTCCTCATTGTATACGTGACTCTTACGGTGAATGTACTTGGAAATTTACTGAAACCCAATGATGGATGGCTTTTTCTTTGAGCGTGTGCGATGGGCTTGGCTTACCTATGCTAACAGACTATTCCTGACACCGTAGGCGATGAGGTCTTGGAGTGGAATGGGAGGCTACTGCAAGGGGCCACGTTTGAGGAAGTTTACAACATCATCCTAGAATCCAAACCCGAACCACAAGTTGAGCTTGTTGTTTCAAGGCCGATTGGGTAAGATAGTCTTAGTAAATATTTTTTTTTTTTGCTTTATTTTTATTTTGTGTGTATGAGCGTTTTGTTTGAATGTTTGCAGGTACACAGCATGCATACCTTCTGCACAAAGAGGACAGAAGGAAGGCCTGACTTCCTGGTTTTGGAGGTATGGGTGGTTGTGAACCAGTATGTCGGTGCTGGAGCAAAACCCTGGTCCTCCGCGTGAGCACTGTGCTCTCGTAACCACTGAGCCATTGCTCCAGCCCTCAGTTGAGAAATGTGTGTGTGAAGGTGACTGCTATTCAGCAGTTTGGACTGTGCAATCCAAAATTTCCTGTCTACTTCATGAAAATAAGTTTGCATAGACTTCTTTTTCAAATATTTAACCAGAATTAGTAATTTTTCTCTGATTATGTAAAATAGATTGCAGATTGCAACAAAAAAGAAGAAATATTTAGGTTTTTTAATTGCTGTTATCTTAATGACTGATATGTAGCTAAATTTATTAGTAAGAGGAGGGTACTACTATAAGTTTACTTTTAGGAAAAGTGTTACTAGTCTTGTACACTCTGAATGCCAGTCACTCTGATCTACGTACTTTACAGTTTTGCTTTTGTCTTTGTGTTTTCAAATGGGGAATCTAGCTGACGAAAGAGGTGTGCGTATAATCCCTAGATACAGGGCTTACTTGAGAAAAAGTGGTTTCTTTTAAAACATGATTAATAATAAGCTAGGCAACATTAACTTTGTCATTGTGTTTTATTGCCAATAGCTTATGTATGTAAAGTTAACAGTAAATTTAACCCTGTCATCTAAGCTGTGAGAATTATTCATGAAGTGTCAGGCAGTCCTTTTTCTGCAGAAACTTACATTCTATGATAATATAAAAGTGTATCAATATTAAGTACAAAAATGTTTAACTGGACAGTGGACTATTGAATGATTATTGAATTATTGAATGGTTAACAGCATCTATGTACGGAGGCTACAGAAATTATTCCATGAAATCGTGCCCTGTTTCCATTCACTTAGGAAAGAATGGGCAGTAGCCTTTTGCCTTTTAAAAGTTTGGTAATATGGTAAAACCATGGTGTATCAGCTTAGTGTATTAATCAAATATATTTTAGTGTTAAAATACACTCAAATTATTTTTTAATATTCTAAGTAATTTATAGTCTTCTATATCAAATAAGTGTAGGTTTTTTGGTGTAAATATGGTTACAAGGCAACCATTGAAAGTTCCCATAAGAATCATGTTTGTCTGCTACCAACGTAACCACTACCTTTTAAAATTTTAGTTATACTTGGATTGTTTTAATGATATTTGAGTTCCATTATAATTTATTTAGAAGAGAAGGCAAAAATAAAGAATTGAATTAATGCATGTTTATAAAAACTTAACCTTGTTGAAAACAGAGCATTTTTTTAAGAGTAGATGTTTATACAGTGAAGCACATAAGAAATAAAGTGTGTGTTTTGTAAATCTGCTACAAATGTGCATAGATTTTAATTCCTGCTAGAACTAGCTGCAAACATGTGATCCCAGACTTGGGAAGAGAAGGCAGAACTATGTGGCAAATTCCAGGCCATCATCGCCTACATAGAAGGTCAAGGCCAGTTTGTCCAAAAACAAAACAAAAAGCTGTGGTTGGTCTTATTTTCATAATGCTTCCACTATCCTCACTTTTCATTTATCACCTTTTTGTAATTTTGGTTACAATAGGAGATGCATCAATTGTTAAAAGTTTATTCTTTTATCCTTTTCTGTCATTTCAGAGATATACCTAGGATACCGGACAGCACACATGCACAACTGGAATCCAGTAAGTTTAATTCATTCTAGGGTGTGTCATTGAGCGACATGCCATTCGTCAAAGGTCTAATGAAGAGATTAATCTATCAGTATGGCATAAGATAATAAAAACTATTGTCTCAAATACTGATTTTTAAATTCCATATAAAATGGAAATTTTCATATTATTTCATTAACACCGTAGGGAAAAAAGCAACCTCTAATAACTTCAGTATTATTTTATTTTTCCCCTGCCATTGTTACTATGGGTTTTTAAAGTAGCTTCACCAAGGTGTATTACAATACCTGCCTAACAAGAATGCTGTTATGTTTTGGCTGCTTATGGACCCACGTATCTGTCACAATGAAAAGTCATTTCTATCATTCTCCAAAGCCACCTACTCCCCAAATTTCCCACAAAATTTAAAATTTGGAACTTTGTAACTCCTTTCTCTTTGTAAAGGGTATGTTTAGAATAACTATTGAATCGTTTTATTTTCTCTGATTTATATTTTCTTGACACTAAGATGGTAGTTCTAATTTGAGATCACAGCAGTAAAGGAACAATGAACATATAAATTCAAACAGCCAAAGGCACAATTATTTTTACTATTTGTCTTGAACTGCTATTTGTTTTCTGATGGACTGTTTCTCGACTGACCTAAGAGTAGTGTGAAGGACACTGGGAGAGAAGATGAGGGTTGCAGTTTAAATAATGTTGATTAGCATAAGACAAAAACCGGGAAGTAGCCGGGGCACAACTTCAGAGGGTGGCTGTGGTGGGGGAAGCTTGACAGGCAAGAGGTACAGATGTCTGATGATGCAGGGGTGCTAGGCAGGCTCATTTAAAGCAGCAGAGGCTGGACAGTGTGGACAATTGGAGCTGGCAAGGGGGAGATGGTCAGGATGATGCTGGAACAGTGGCAGGTCACAGCTCAGCCGTTAAAGCGCGGTGAGGACTTCCACTTGCCCTTGGAAGATACGGGAGCTCTTGGGAAATGCTGTCCAAGAGATATCTATACCTAACACTTTGATTCTGTCGTTAAAATTATTGCATGCAGTCGTGCCTAAGCAAAGCAAAGCTTGGAAATGTAACTATCTTAATGACAAGATAGCGTTGGTCCTGCTCAAATGAATCTATACCGTAATAAGCAAACATTGGAATTACACAGGGCTGCTTCATTTTATTTAGGACTTGCGGCTGTTTGGTGTTGTTGCTATGTTATCACTATTCTTTTTAAAAACTATGGGGCAGGCAAAGTTTTTTTCCCCTTGTATCAGTAAGACACCATGGACGTAATAGGAAACCCTTTATTTTATTGTGGCTGTCTAAAAAGCCCTCAGGCTGCTCTGGGCTTCTAGTTCCCGAAGAGACAAGAGTCTGTGTTCAAAGTGGTTCCAAACATTTATTCTTTAAGCATCCATTTATGTGCGTGTCCAGGGACCGGTCTTTAAGTCTCTGTTCTGGGTTCTTCTGTAGATTATTTACTTTGTATGGTTTTTAACGGCCAGCTAAGCGACTGCCGAAGCTTTATGATTAAAAGGTGCTGTCAGTGTCTCTATCCCTGACGCTTAAAGAATGTATTCTATTTACTAATTTTCCTGTTGTCTGATGCTCTTGAAGCCTTGTGAGATGTGGTGAAAGGTGTCCCCATCATTTCACGTGATACAGTCTCCAGGGCTGACTTTATGCCCACGCATTTCTAAGCAGGCACACAGCTCCACAGGCCGATTTCCAACTCTAGTCTTGCCTCTGACATTTAGTCCCGTCCC